CCTGCTGAGTGCGATTTCAGATTAAAAAGCACGTACAGCTCCAAGGTTCCCAGCAAAGGAGAATGGATCAGGAGGAAGACCTGCCACAAAAACCCCTTTGGCACACAGCAAGGGTGCTGCTTCGTGGCAGACGCGTCCCGTGTGGGCAGCACTGCTGGGCACAAGCACAGGGCTCAGGTGCTGTCGTTGCCTTTGCCTGCAGTGTGCGCGGTGAGCTGGTGCTGGGTGGATTTTGCCATCTTGGATAAGATGCCCTGCAGCACCCTGCTCACAGGTCAGAGGCACGACTCTTCTCTCCTCGCCCTTTCCCCCTGCCTGCTTGGGCCCGTCCTTGTTCCCAGCCAGGGCTTGAAGCTGGGGACTGGGCAAGCTGACAGCAGGGTACCCGTGCTGGGGGTGCACGGGCAAGCTGACAGGGCAAGTGTCCCAGCAGGTCACCAGGGAGGCAGTGGGGCTGATCTGCCAGTTAGTCTGCATCGCTGGGAGGAGGACATTTGGGGGAGAGCTGCCATATGGGAATGGAAAACCCCTGAAACAGTTCCTGGAAATAAAATCAGAGCCTGTGTGTAGGTGTAAACATACACCCCTCTCTTACTGCCCAGAGCAGCCTCCAGCACATCAGAAGAGCCACCGGGCTGGTGGTAGCACTGTACTAATGTGGGCAGCGAGGTCTGGGACCATGGGCTATCCTGCGTGCTAGTCCTCAGGGCTTTTGTTTGATTAAAACCTTACTCCCAGATACAGGGCTCCCACTGCACTCTCATCCCCAGTTTCCCCCTGTGAACAGCCGCTCTCTCCACGGGTCTCTCTCCTGCAGTAACCCCCTGCCCAGGGTTTTTCTCGAGACCGCCGGGGGGGTGGGGGGGGGCCCAGCCCCGACCGGGGGCCGGCGGTAGCAGGGCCAGGCTGTGCTGCAGACAGCAGACACAAGACAGCAGTTCTCTGCCCAGACAGCTTGGTGTTCTTAGTGTTCCTATGCGTAGCAAGCAGGGAGGGGAAGCAGCAGGTGGAGGGAGCGCACAGGATGGGAAGCAGCAGATCTTGGAATAAATTTTCGCTCTCCAGACACAGCGCAGCGGC